ACAATGAACCAGATATTAATGAAACAGCTATGCAAACATTTACAAATCCTCTGTGCAACTTATCTAAAATATATTCTCTCTTCCTATGTTTCGGCAACATATTTTGTTTATTAAAATTAAGCTTTAATTTGGGATTTTCGGCATGTACTGAAAATAATATGTTTAGAAATAAATTTCACATTCAAAATTTATCTATATTTTCATAAATAGTGAGAAGATGCCATCATTAACTGACATGTAATCAATTTTTGCTCACTTGATATCAAATAATTACGTACCTGCTAATGAAGACAGAAACAATCAAATTTATATCTCTTAAGTATGGTACATATATTTAACTAATGAAATATTTTGTTTGATTTCTGAATCACTTTATTTTTGGTTAGGGGTAGGTTTCCACACGTCTTTCACGAGTGTACTGGAGTGTATTTTGAAGCGTTCTGAATGTCTAAATCGACCGTAACCTATAAAAATAATCATTATATAATTTTTGTTTTGATAATTTGTTGAAAAACAGAATAAGCTAAATGTAGATTATTTGTGGTATCTAGGAACATTTTAACATACATTGTTCAAATGTGATTGTTATAAACTTATTGTAATTCGTGTAAAGATTATATTTCTGTAACATTATTATTTATTTCTTGAACAATATATACATAATCTGAAATTTAAAAAATAAATTGTACATTCTCATATTTTTAAATATTTACATCATGAGTTAAATACTTAATTATAAAAAATTATATTCTAGTTTTCTAGGAAATCATTGAATGTTGTTGTATCTACTTCTAAGTCTATTTCATCTAAAGAAGGCCCCTCTTTAGTCACTGGTAACTCTAAAAAATAAAAAGATTACATTAAATTTATAAAGATTTTAATACTTTTTTTGTAGTACATGAATATGACATAAGAAACATACTACGTATAGACCCTGTTGCTTTATATTCCTCAAGTTGCTCTTTAAACACTTCATCAAATGTTTCTTGCCTTTCTTTCATCATCTTCTGTTGCTTTTTTTCATGTTGCGATACTCTTTCAACGTGCTCATCAGCCAACTTTGCTAAAGTAAATTTTGCAGTAAATTCTTTATATTATATTTGTTTTGCTGCCTGCGTGTAACTTTCAATAGTGTAGTATTGTACCTTTAACTATATTTAACTCTGCTAGTTTCTTTTCTTCGTATAGAGCTAACTGAAATCTATGATCTAGTTGTCTGCTTTGTAAATCCAATACTTCATTTAAATCTTCCAATCTATAAATAGCTCCCTCTACTTCTTCGAACGTCTCTTGCAAAGTTCCTTTAAAATTTAGAAAAAAATTTTGCATTATTTACTGCCGTTGTTAATAGTTTGTTATAACTCTCTTTGAGTTAAATATACCTATTTGATCCATTAATTCTTGAATTGAATTATTAATTTTGGGTATGTAAGCTAAGGTACTATTTAGACATGTAATGTTCTTCCATTCTTGCTCAAGTTTTTCATAAATAGTTCCTATGAGTTTGTCTGCCTCTTGAGCTTTTCCTGCATTTTCTTCCGCAAGCTCGTGCAACTCGTTCCACTGCAATTGATATCTATGCAATATATCAGCTCCAGCATGATAGTTAACATTTCGAGCATTGGTTGACTTCTTATGCCTTGGATTCTCAGTAGTAGTCAATCCTTTGATACTAAAATAATAATAATCATTTACATATAATATTGTAACCAATTATATGAACAATTTATGTGAAATGTAAATGCCTTCTATTTTTTATAGTTATGTGCTCATGTATAGGAACTATATAAACAAGTATTTGTTTACCTAGCCGAGATACCTTCTTGCACAGTTTGAAACTTATTACGCAGAGTACCAAACATGATTGTGAATTACAATATTAATGGAAGAAATAAAAGTACAAACAGTTTTGTAATAATACTATTATATGAAAAATAATATAAACGTCATATTCTTTATAAACATTATAGCCTCATGAAAGCATATTTCTTATTAATAAACCAAAAAAATATTTTCACAATTTCCGTAATACAGCTTCTAATTGATAATTTAAATGCTAGGAGTAATTAACATGTGAAACATGTTTCAACTAGTAATGAATTACTGAGGTAACCTCTATTTTACATTTGCTAATAGAATTTTTAAATAATTTTTTTACTTGCATCACCAAGTATACATAGAGGTATTATTATAGCAATTGCCACTTAAAGCATAAGTTTAAAAATGACAACGTTAAAAGCAGATAACAAACACAATGTACGTGCTAATGTAATAGAGTAGAATGAAACGAATTAAATAATATATTTTTGGCACTCCTTTCACAAATTTTAATTACTGCAAAATAATAATACGATACACATATTGTCAATTATAAGCATGCGTTATGTT